AATAATATTAAACAATAATTCTATGATTATATATAACTTTTTTTATGAATATTTACAAATGATACGTAGTTGCTCAATTTTAATATGTCTTAAGTAAAAACTTCTTGGTATACCACATTTATGGTTTTATTTTGTGGTGCATAAACGTACAAATGGTCAGGTCATCCAACTCTAGAAAACATAAGTGAATATCTAGTATGTAGTAATAGWGCTGAATACATAAGTGGTGTTTGATATAAAATAAAACGTTTTGTGGAATAAATGATGTTTGTAATTTTACGATGTCTATAAATGCATTAATAACATCGTCGTTTAAATAAGAATTATGTATTGCTAAGGCAGTACAGTGGTCTTTCCTCATAATGTAAATGACAATACTCTTAAATTGTAGTTAAATAATTTAGGGAAACACTACACAAACGCACACAGTTCACTATAATCACAGTCACAGTACACTGATGAACCAACAATCGACGCGCGTTCGGCGTCTGGTGGATCGTAAGTCGTACCACGTTTATCGCATTTCGGTAAGAAATGTATTATTATTTTTAGTCGGTGTTTTCTATACAACTCATTAAATATTACATAGCCTCGGAACAATTCATAACACACACAAAGAAAGGTAAGAGWACAGGTAGACGGAAACCCTCGGACCGCCGTGCCGTACCGTATTTCCYGTTATCGGCCGACTGCAATTGTTATTATTATATGAATATAGATATACAAATTACACGTACAAATTTATTTTTGCCAATTTCAAGATTTTAACCCTTTAAATCAAAATTTTGAAAATCGAGTGACGTGGTGACACTCAGGAAGGTATTTGGAACAACTCTGTGAAAAAAAATTGGAAAAAAGTTAAATAGCGTCGACACAAAATTGGTACATAAAAAAGGCCTGTTCTTTTATATATATAAGGAAGGATTTAATATAAGTAATAACCAAAATTATACATTGATATTACTACCTCCATTATGGCATTGTGTATAGGTACCTGAAGTCTAAATAGTATAATATACCAACTACTCAACGGTATTGGTGCAGGTAAACAGGTAGGTACACGAGAATCAATTCGTACATCATAGTCATCGATTAGGTCCCAGACACGGGTAATCGATTTTCTTCCTACCTTTTCTGTATTCTGATTGCGGCCTATTGTGTAGTAGGTAGGTTAAGTACAATATTTTTGACCCATGTAGTAGTGTGCAAATCGGGCGTATAT